ATAAAACCAAAAAAAAAAAAAAAAGTCATGGTCATACTATTTTAAAGCTATAAATGAGAAATTTAAAGTTACAGTTGGGTCAAAGTTAGTCAAACTAATTCTTATCAATGTTCCATTATCTGCAATTTCTCAAATTTCTCGCTATTATAAAAATTGTTATATTTGTTCTACACACAGGGATGCAATTTGGGAGTAGGAGATGCCAACCCTCCTAGAATTGGAAATTTTCTATTTTATTTCCATAAAAAGTTTTCTTTTTTCTTTTGTGTAATAAATCCCTTTATTATGTTCTCAAATTTGTTATTTTACCATAAACACAGAAGAAAGGGATTTGCCTGTAATTAAAAGGAAATTAGGTAAAGTGAAAATTCAGGTATGGAAATCAAATCTTTTGTCATATTTGGAAAAATTGATTGAAACCTGGGAAGGGAAAATATGTCTGACAGTCAATCAGTCAATCAGTCAATGATTATTTTTGTGCAACTTTTTCACCCAGGAGTGAGTATATCTTTTTTGTAACTGAAACATTGAATGCCTTTCCATTTTTTGTTGCAATTAATTGTCCATTAATTGTATTTCATAAGTGCCTGAATTCCGTTGGAATAGTAGAAAGAATTTTTATGAAGTTTACTGGAGTGATTGACCATGACTGCCATTACCACTCCAATTTTGAGTGAAAAGGAAAAATACAGGAAATAAAAACTAAAATGGTTAAAGAGTGAAGATATTATTATTATTATTTTGGTGAAAGTGAGGATGTTATTTAGTTTAGAGAAAAATAAAAATTAAGATATTTGAATAGAAAAATAAGTTACGGGAGAGTTTTTTCTCTTATGAAATCTAACATGATTTAATTTTAAATTAGTTGGATATTTAACGTAATTCTTGTATATTAAGAAATTATTATTAAAAAATTTATTTAAATATTTTAAATAAATTCTTCTTATATGTTAATTTATTAAAAATAAAAAAAAGGAAAAATCAAGATTTCTTGGTATTAAAAATGCCAGCAAAAACCTATGTTAAGCCCCTCAACTTTTTCAATAACTAGTGATAAGCCCTTGAACTAAAAAAGTGACAAATAAGCCCTCAAACCCCATGTAAGGAGCAAATTAACCCCTCTGCGAACTAGAGTTGACAATTTGCCTTGATCCCCGTGGGGCCCTGTTGGGATCCCCACCAAGAGGATGGGGTAGGAAGGAATAGCAAGAAGGAATATTCCTCCCCGTCGATGGAGGCATTTCCCCCTTGCAAGATTTCACGGGGAATTTGGCGAGGATCCCCATCCCTACAAAAATTGCAAAAATATGTAAATTAATTTTATTTGAAATTTAATTCAATCTTCAAACCCAAATCCAATCTAATAAAAATTAAATTTAACTCAAATTTACCAAACTCAACCCATAAAAATTAACCCAACCCATCATCAACAAGGTTGTTGATTTAGCTATTTATATTGAATTGATCTTTATTTATTTGGACAATTTATATTTGATTTTTTATTTAAATAATTTTAGTTAATTGTACTTGAAATTTTAGAATTTTATTCATTATAATTGAATATTAATTAATTATATGTAAAAAATTTATATTTTAAAATTATTTGGTGGGAAA